CACGAACAGGTACACTGCCTGCACGTACAGACACACTCTTACCCAAACAGACATGACATACACATCTCCTGGTGAACAGGTAAGTCTTTTGACAATGCCCTTTGCCTTAGCTTTAGATATGCCTGTTGATAGAGAACTTGACCTTTGACCTGCTTTCACGTTTCTGAGCTCTGGCGAGATACCTTTTCACAATGCTTTACCTTTTCAAGGCCCATACTGCTTTATTTTTACAAGGCCTGAGGCCTATATCGGGTAAAGGCCCTTTTACTAACACCATTTCTTACTGAGGAGGGCATCTGCACACCAGGACCCTTTTGACTGAGCTCTGGACGTGATTGCAGTCAGATGCATCCAGGTCTGGCCATCGTTGCAGTCAGATACATTTCGGGAAGTGGTAGCGTGAGTGTGCCCTGGGACCGCTGGACTGATCTTGTCCACTTATCGAAGCACTCAGTAAACCCACTTGATTGCTCTCATTCCTGCGCCTCCCCCCCCCCCCCGTATTATGCACTAGTTAATGAAGGGCAATCATATCTTTTGACGTGCTCGTCACTTCAAAGGGGAACCCCCCCCCCCCCCCCCTCCATAGGCAAGTAAGAAGATAGTGGCATTTATGAGAAAAAGTTCTTGAAAGATGGGTATCTTTTATGAGAAAAAGTTATTAAAACCTCACTTCATTTATGGGTAAAAGTTTCTAAAACCTCACTAAAAATCTTTGTAACATGTGGCTACTATCTTTTCGTTTTTGGTCGTCGGACTGGCAAAGGCACGGTTTTGCTTTCTGAATCCGGACATCTTTTTTTTTTTTTTTTTTTTTTCTCTCTCTCTCTCTCTTTCTCTCCTGTAGATGGTTTCTTGTTTCTCTCTCTCTCTCCCCTTCCGTTTGTATGTGTGTATCTCTGTCCATCTGTCCCTCCCCCCACCCCTTCGCTCCATCCCCTCTCTTGTCCTTTCCTTCGATCTCTGCTCAATAATAGACCCTAGTAAAGGTCAGTGTCGTGGCATACTCGCAGTTTGCTGCTTGTGTAAATTTGTAATTTTGTATGAATTATCCATCTAGTCCTCTTCGCCCTCCTATGTTGTGATCTCCTTGCCCTGATTTCCCCCCTGTCCCCTCCTGATCCCCCCCTGTTTTCCACGTGTTTCCCACTCTCTCCTCGTCTCTCCCCCTTTCCCCTCTCCTTCTGCCCCCTCGTCCTCTCTCTTCTACTTTCTCTTGTGATGCCACATTCCCTCTCTCTCTCCGTCTCCCTTCTCTCTCCTTTCTGGCTCCTCTTCTCCCTCTTTCCCCTTCCTTCCCTTTGCTTTCTCCTCCTACTTTGTCTTGCTATGCCCCAGTCTCTCTCTCTCTCTCTCCCCCTCATGTCTCGTTCCTCCTCTCCCTCCGGCTTCCCTCTTCTCTCTTCTGCTTTTTCCCTCTCCTTCCGTCTGCTCTCTTGCTCCTTTCTCTCGTTACGCCCCACCGTCTCTCTCCCTCCCGTGTCCTTCCTCCTCTCCTTTCTGTCTCCCTTCTCTCTCCCCCCTGTCCACCCCGACTCCTCTTTTCTATTCTGTCCGTATGCTAAACCAACACCACCTTTCCCAAGCAACATTGAGACAAAAAATCTAACATTCTGGGTTCTTTTGTGGCTCGCTCGGGGCTACCAGACCAGACTGGCTGGCGGCACAAGCCAAAAGAAAAAAAAAGTGCTGCGCTGGTACTTCGGCAAACCTTGGTGTGTTCTTTTCTGCTTTGGCAAAGTGCGTCTCGGAGGTAGTGGTGGTTTTGACCACCTGTAGACAGCTCGCATCGGCCATGGGGCCGTGTCATAGGCCGAAACACGACGGCGACCACCAATTTCTTTTATCGATACCGGCGCCAACTTTTTCAGATAGGTGACAAGTTTCTTTTCAGCGAGGCTGGGGCCGTGTACTGGTGGTTTAAACCGCTAGTACACGGCCCCAGCCTTGCAGAAAGTTTTTGTTGCCACAAGCAAAACTCAGAGTCGCTGGGTGGCCAGGGGTGCCGTTGAAAGAAAAAAAATCGGCGTCCTCCAAAGTGGTGCGTGTTTTATGCTGACACCCACAGGCCGATGTGTGGTGTACTGGTGCTTTAAGGCATGCCACCGAGTCAAACGGACTTTTGGATATGTGTCCCTTCGTTTGCGAGTGCTCTCTTCCTGCCTTTGCCTTTCTCTGCTTATACTCTGAGCATTAGCCTCTTCTCTCTCTTGTCCTCTCCCCGCCCGACTCTTTTCTGCTCCTCTGTTCACATAGGGCACACTTGCACTGCGAGTGCTCTCTTTCTGCCTTTGCCTCTCTCTGGTTATACTCTGAGCATTT